AAAAAAAAAAAAAAAAAAGACAATTTATGTGGTCCTGATTTTCATCGTTAACACCAGTGCACCATGCAATTCTTGTTTAATCTCTTCCGACTGCATGGGTCTCTTTGGGCCTGTCGATGCGGTACATGAACTCCGCAGGCACGAAGTAGCCCAAGTACTCCACGCTGTCAGGTGTGGTGTCGATGTAGTAGTGACCACCTTCTCCATGAGGACTGAAGCAGTGGGTGTGCTCCACACGTAAGTCAAGTCCCTTAATACAAAACACGCAAATGATCATTGAAACAGACATTTTGGTGCTTCACAGCAGCATTGTTTTCACCAATGCAGTGATTCCCAACTACTCTGCCCGTGGTACAATAGGCTGTGAGAGACTACTACAAATAATGTATCTTTGTTCATCTGCAGTATGTCAGGACAAGCGTGACAGGCAGAACAATTAAATGCTCTGTCACTCGATCACGGGTGTCAAACTCAAGGCCCGCATCATTTTATGTACACAAAAGTAAATTAAGTGTATCCACTTCATGTTTGTTGCTAAAGTACCACAATCGTAAGTTGTCTTAACTTTCCAGAACGTTAAACTACTGCAATTGTTTTTTGTTTTTTTTTGTCACCAACGCCGCCTTTCAAAAATAAAACGGTGATTAAATACTTTTTGTACAGTAGTACATGCATGAATTGATAAGATGATATACTTACAGGATCTTTAGATACAAGCACCGACTGGCAGATGAGTGGGGCTTTCACCTCAAAGTGTTTGAGCCAGCTGTTGACCTCTTCGTTCGAAGTGAGCGGACACACCGAGAACTCTCTGGGCTGTGCAGAAACGGTAAGCATGAGTCTCACGATGACCATCTTTCTATGCAGGAAATTGCTTGTTTAAAGGAGACATCGTATGCATTTTCTGACAATTTAAAACAGTTAGGTGTCGAAATAGAACTCTGTGTCATGACACACAAAAAAAATCAAGAATTTTAGGTAACACTTCAAACCCCATTGCTGTGTTGCTGAAATGAGCCCATTTATGAGGGGGTACGGATTTCATCACAAGCAAGTGACTGCGAATCAAAAAAAGGAACTGCGAAATGCCCTCATGGAGGCAGCACATGGTCATCCAAGTCACATTTTGCATTGACTCATGTCGATAGCAAAACAGACAAATCACCACACGCCCCCACCCTCACCACGTGGACAATTTGTCAAC